ACACCACCGCAGTTGGCGGCCTTGCCAGGGGCGTACCAGACGGCCTCACCCTTCTTCTCCTTGCGGTGGTTCTCAAAGACCTCAATGGCCTCGAGAGTGCAGCCCATGTTGGAACCTTCAGCGACGAACCTGCAGCCGGCAGCAACGAGACCCTCAGCCTCCTCCTTGGAGACCTCGTTCTGGGTGGCGCAAGGAAGAGCAATGTCGACCTTGCCAACGTGGAGCCAGGGGCGGGCACCCTCGATCCACTTGACGTGGCCGTCGTGCTGGAAGGTGGTAAGAGGCTGACGGGCCTCCTTGATGGCCATGATGGCGTTGACATCCTCAACGGTGATGCCGTTGTCGCCAGTGGCGATGAGGGCACCCTTGGAGTCGGAGAGGGAGACGACGGTGGCGCCGAGCTCAATGAGCTTGAGGGCGGCGTACTGGGCGACGTTGCCGGAACCAGAGAGGGCAACGCGCTTGCCAGCGTAGGAGCCAGCGCCAGAGTACTCGAGCATGTGGCCGACGTAGTAGACGAGACCGTAACCAGTGGCCTCGGGGCGGATCAGAGAACCACCCCAGGAGAGGCCCTTGCCAGTAAGGACACCCTCGAAACGGTTGGCGGCCTTGCGGTAGGCACCGAACATGTAGCCGATCTCGCGGCTGCCAACACCGATATCACCAGCGGGAACATCGGTATCGGCACCAATGTGCTTGGAAAGCTCAGCCATGAAAGCGCAGCAGAAGCGACGGATCTCAGCGTCGGACTTGCCCTTGGGGTCGAAGTCGGCACCACCCTTGCCACCACCCATGCTCACTGGAGACGCCGAGTCAGCTACTTGGTTTCTTTTGTCTTGTGTAAATCCCGCTTTTGTCACTTACAGCCAGTGAGGGCATTCTTGAAGATCTGCTCAAAACCGAGGAACTTGAGAATGGAAAGGTTGACGGAGGGGTGGAGACGGAGACCACCCTTGTAGGGACCGAGGGCGGAGTTGAACTGAACGCGGTAACCGCGGTTGACCTGGAGGTTGCCGTGGTCGTCCTCCCAGACAACACGGAACTGAATAACACGCTCGGGGATGGAGGCAACGTTGAGGGCGGTGCGGTACTCGGGGTGCTTCTGGAAGAGGGTGGAGTTCTCGAGAGTGTAGGCCAGCTCTGTGGTGGGAAGTCAAGTCAGCTCCAGCTCCGTGGCTACACGATAGACATGTGTTTCTCTTGGTGTTGACATACCCTTGTAGGCCTGCTCGAACTCGGGCTCAGAGGGAAGGTTGGACATTTTGAATGTGGTGAGGGGTATAAAAATAAAGCAACGGGTTGGCCACCGGGTATCGATATAGTTGTGCTTGGTGGGAGGGCAAGATGGATGAGCAAGAGAACAAGACGAGAGGGAGCTGTGCTCTCTGGAGGAGGGGATGAAAAGGTTTTATACAAAATAGTAGCTGGGGCGACTGGGGGAAGGAAGCAGAGGTAACCTTGAGGGTTTGGGGAGGAGTCGGCGTGACGGAGACCTCGACTGGGCGAGACGAGACGGGCGGGACGGAGGGGGCCCACGGCGTTAGGTTGCGAGGATAGCACGAAGCATGCCGGGTTGTCCTCGATCCCCCCTCGATCCCCTCGTCCCTAGTGCCTTCCCCGTCCTCCGAACATGGAGCGACCTGGAGGCGAGCATGAAACCATCACAGACCCTGTCTCGTCTCTAGTCGCCTGTATGTTTTCCAGGCGGCATTCAAATCCCGCGTTGCAGCCCGCCCGCGAACAATCCCAGCTGCAGAATGCCATTGAGGGATGGGGGCGTGGAGCCCGCATGGGGGCACTCGGCGTGGTGGAGTTGCGCCGGGATTAGCCCCTGTCAGTTTGTCACTGTGTACTTGGCCACCAAGGGTGCTGTCAAGACGGGATATGGTGCCGTCTGGGCTCAGCAATATCAGATGCATCCGAATGTCGCTCTCCAGATTGGCAGAGGTGGTCTGAACCGGCAGTGCGGATTGCATATCGATGAACGCGATACATATTGTTGAAGACTCCGTCCAGCAACGTTCTCGAGACAACATGTCCCTAATAAGGCCCCCCAGTGCCCACAGCACCGTCATGTTTCGTGAGCATCGAGACGCGCCTTTTTTTTCTGCGAAAATCTTTCCGCCGTCCATCATTTCCACGCTCATCTGCACATTGCATACATACAACGTGGGATCTAGCAGCAGAATGGAAATGTCATTGATCAAGCATCTGGGTGGGAGGGTCGCGTGTAGGATTGGCTGTTTTAGACTTTGGGGGGTGTGATGGCCTGTGACAGGCTGGATCAACGTCATCCGTCTTGTCAGCGCTCCGAGGTCGGCTCACCATTTCTGAGCTATCGATATTCGATAGAGCTATTTCATCAGCACCAATTAGCCTGTAGGCTAGTACTCTAAGAACATAAGGTACCCCAGCCTGGATGTACATAATTCGAACGTGCAATAGAATCGTTGATGATACCCAAGTATTCACCATCGTCGACAATAGCCATTTCTGTCCATATATTTGTCCTGCTCGTGCGCGACATTTCAAGTTGCCAGCTGGGGCGAGAACAGAGAAATTTGAGACGAGAAGTGAAATGCGCTTTCCCCCCTCCCCCTGTCTATGAATCAAGACATGGCAGGCTGGGACTGCGCTTCCTGCACAACCTCGGCGGGCTCCACGCCGGGCGCCACAGCCGCATAGATCGTCCGTTGTCTTATCAGAGAGCGCTGATTGGCTGCCTCGAGGGTTTTTGTAAACAGTTACAAGTACAAGTGAGTGTCGGTTTCGCAGGGGTTGGAAGCTCTTTTCGCCGGACCAGCCCATCCGCTCCTTCTGAGGAAAAGATCGGAACACGGATCAATGCCAAGTCGTGAGCAAAGTCCCAAATCTCCCCCACTTCGCCCACGTCGCTTCGGGAGTCGCTACCGTCGTTCGAGCACTCCGACCTCGCAGGTCGCGTGTCGCAGGCTGCCAGTGTCATGTAACGCTGAGGCACACCAGGGTTTCATTGGACGGATAGGGGTGAATGCGACACAATTTGTCCTCTTGCTCACGAATTGATACCTGTCATTGGTCTGTTTGATCAGCCAGTTTGGGAGGTAGAGGAGGCCAGGACAGGTCGGGTTGCAGTCCGAGACCGCCCTGGAGAGCAAGGGCCCTTGCTTGCCATGCACCGTCGCCGTCGTCGAGGTTGGTGTGAATGCATTCCCAAGTATACATCCTTGTCACGAACCCCCACCTTCCTTCCTGGGATGCAAGACCATGATTCAGGGTCCCTGCAAACTCCAGCGATATCGTTCAGCCTTGCAGGAGCTTATCAGTGGACGGAGGAGCAACGAAAAGAAGAAAAAAGATGGAGAGATTGTGGTGTATCTCCGCCACTATCACGGTCGCGGTCCGCTTCGGCGAGAACTAGATAAATAGTCTTCACCATCGACAACGCGCGAGGGAAAAGTCTGGGCAGACAAGCACACCACAGTCCGAGCTACGCCGAGTCAGCGAGCCAGCGACCATCCAAAAGCGACAAAGTTCAAAAAGTCGACATGCCGAAAACTTCGACGATCGATGGGAGGTTGCCAACCTCGCCAGAGCACACGCTTTTCGGACCAACATCGGGTGTAGATCTGCTCTCCGGTGGCAGTTTCTCAGCTCGAATTTTTCTCTTGAATAGCTTCCCGCCGGCTGGCTTGTTTCGGCATATACACATACACGACCAACAACAGGTCCGTCCCTAGCGCGGCACAAGCTTGCTCTTACGTGGCGCCGAAATAAAAGTGGAATCCGACTCACGAAAAAGAGGCCACCCGTGAAGTGGAAACAAGCTTCTTTACATCCTATTCTTCCCGATGGCCAGCGCCAAAACCAGGGGCAATCCCGGCCGCTAGACGCCGTCGACTTCGGGTCGCCAGTCAAACGGTGGGAATCCTGGCGTCGGGCCCGTGCCCGAGTCCACATCACGGAAACTGCACCGCAATCCGTATCTCGAACGGTATCCACACGACCGCCTCCCCTATCGAGTCCATCAACCCCCCATGCGACGATTCGGGGCTAAGCGGCACCAAGAACCCATCTCCGAGCGGCCAACGCGGCTTCCGGCGCTGCTGCGAGCACTTGCAGCCTGGTGTCTGCACTCTGCAGTGCCAGTGAAGCTTGCACCCGCGTTCAATATCCGCTGCGACCTTATCTCACATTTGGGCGCTATATACGGGCCGACATGACCTTGGCACTGGACTTCACTGGTATGTAGCTGCCGGCTTGTCGTATCCAAGACGGATACCCATCTCCGCTCCCAGTTCGTACTTGTGGTGTCGTCCGTTTCTTGCGTGGTTTATCCTTCTGTGACTGATCGACTCGCCTCCACACGGAGGATGTGGGCGTCGGCGTCGGCGATCTCGAACATCACTAAGGTGGTTGCCGAGGTGCGCTTTGCGCGAGACGCTGTGAATGACTTCGGCTTACCAAATATTTTGGAGACTGCTGACGCAGCCAAGCGAACTTGGAAGCTGTCCGCTTGATTTTGTTTTTTCAATCAATGCCTTGCATTGTCACTGTTTGATGTCATTGATGGCAAGAGCAGCACAGCAATCATTGAACTTGCAGCGCACTTCCCCATCTCATCACAGATCGCTCTTTCAGTTGAATCCAGTGGCCAGCTACCTTACCCGTTGAAATTTGGAGATGCCCCTCCTTCCATTCGAGGAAGGAACGACAGGTTCGACTTCTGGGGAGAGCGGGATTCCACCGAGCGGGAAGCAGATGTCACTTGCCGAAACTGAATACGAAGTTGACGAGCTTAGCAGGATGCGCTTTCCAGTTCTACCGGAGGACAAAAAGATAAGACACGTACAAAATATGTACAATTGAAAATCTGCGAAGAATTGAATGCAAAATCGTTGCTTTCCATCGTGTTTCTACTGCTTTTCGCTCCTCAAACCACCAATACCAAGACAAACTTGCTGACGATTGCGATTACAAACAGAACCACCGACGCTCCCCCTCCCACGCCGTCAACCTTTTCACGACACTTGCATCACGATCGGACCGGCCACGATGATATCATCCGTCAGCTTGCCTGTCAACGGGCCCGCGCTCGCCAAGCTCACATAAACTACGCCGTTCAAGCCCTGCGGCACGACACACCCGCCCGTAGCAGCATCGAACGCCGTGAACGCCGTGCCGCCGGGGACACCACCCGTGGTGAAGGCGCAGAATTTTGCGCCAGCCGTCACCGACGCATCGGTGCTCTGCAGCTTGACCTCGGACCCGGCAGCCGCGACCGTTTTCCCGTCCCCGCCCATCGTCAGCGTCGGAAACGCCGTCAAGATCAGATTGCTGCCCTCGGGACAGCTCGCGATGAAGGGCGCCGCAAGGCTGAACACCTGCTTGGGAGACAAGGGCGTGTCGAAGGCCTGCGGGACTGCCACCACGCCGCTCGCCGCTCTGATGAAGGTCTGGTGGCGCGCCTCAACCGTCAAGATCGAGGCCGCGGTTGTCAGGATGCCCGGGTCGGTCACCAGCTGCGCCGCGCCTAGGTAGGCCGACACGCCGACGTTCTCGAGCACGGCGGCCGTGGCGACCATTGCGGCGGCGGAGTCGACAGCCGCGAAGTTGTAGGTGCATGCCTGCACGGGCTTGACGCCGGCGGCGGCGATGGCGCCCTGTAGCAGGATTACGTGCGCCTCTTCGGTGCTGCCGATGCCCTGCAGGTCCTTGATCTGAGACTCGGAGAGGCCGAGCGCGGTGAAGTCGGCGGCCGGGAACTTTGCGAAGCCTTCGCGGTAGAAGGCCTCTTCGAGGAGCTCGAGAGTGAGAGCGCTGAAAAGGCAGGCGGGTTAGCTGTTGTGAGGCTGATGCAAGAAGAGAAGAGGAGGACATACAATTGCAGGATATCAACATCCGTCAGGCCTGCGGCCGCGGCCAGGGCATTCTGTCGCTTCATGAAGCTGTGGATGTTGAGTTGGTTACCCGTCAACTTGGGAACGGCGGGCAAGGCTGAGGCCAGGGCAGCTAGGCCTGCCGTAATCAGGCCGAGAGTCTTTGTGATTGAAGGCATGTTGGCTACTTCGTCGACTGCTTTTGATGAGTTGGCTTAGAGGTAGGTCGTTTCTTCTGGTGGCGTGTATGCTTGTGTGCGTGTGTGGACTGTTCTTGTCCAAGTATTACAAGATAATTATGCCCAACCGCAGGCAAAGGGCTTTTGGTCGCTGATCGTTCGGAATGATCGTGATTCGGTGTTCGAGAACTGATGAGCACAGCTTGAAGAGACAGGTAGAAACTCGAGAAAAGGAGAGTGAAAGCAACAGCTAGGAAGCAGACCAGTGCTTGATATAAAAGAATGAAACAGAAGAGTTAACTGCAACACAAACAAACACAACACCAGGTTGTTGTGAACGTTAAATGAATGGTGGTGAAGGGAATAAGAGGAGGGAGGAAAAACAACAAAACAACCGGCCCTGAAGAGGACAGCCAGGTATGGATATATCTCTTCAAAAGGAGGAAACAAAGTTCACAAGACGTGATGTGACTGCAGGCGAACGCCAAGCGGCCGGACCACGGAATACGGGGTTATCGATACAACAGAACATTTGACTACACTACTATAGCACCTGGAAACAAGGAGGATAGCTTCACTCGGGGGCGAACGGCTGTTGAGTGTTCCGGGGATCTGGGTAGTATAGTTTGCGGAAATGGAGGGTGGTTGTTCCCATTTTCCCAAAAGTCTAAAACACCAAGAGACAAGGGTCAGGGGTTATGCATGAGTTCCCGCCGTGCCTGGTGAGTGGTGACAGGAGCTTCGGAGTCGGAAGCAAGGTACGTACATACATACATGCTATACTATACTATGCTATACTACCTTTGAAATATATCAAAACTTATACACGTACCTCATATGAATCTCTCTTTCTCGGGCCTGCATACCAATCTGGCATACTGACATCTTGTGAGGTGGTTGTGGCATGTGAAGATGTGAATAAGCCGCCCGCTCTCCAGATGCAATATTAACAAACAACTGGGGTTCGTTCTGACAATAAATGGCATTGAGAGGAAAATGAAAGGGCCCGGACGGATACCTTCGATCCCACCTCTCAACACCAACACAGGCTGAGTCAAAGTCGGTTCAGTCCAAGCATTTCTCAGGATCGATGCAGCTACCTATTTTGTGTAACAAGCAGGTGAGACGGAAGCCAAGTGAACTAGAGGTAGACTGTTCAGAACCAAAGAAACGAAACACCAAGAATGGTTGGTTACCTCACCCTTTTCATCACATCTCTTCAAGCGTCTGGTCTGGCTCTTTTCTTGGTGGAGTTCTTAGCCTCTCTTGGGCTGGCCTTGGTCTTGGTCTTTGGTCCATCACAAATCCAAAATCACATCGTCGAGTCTTGACGAGCGGAAAAAGCATAAAGGAGGAAAACACCCATGGCCAACTAAGGCGCCGAACCAATAGAACTAATAATCAACATAAAAACAAAAGTTAACGCTTACTTAACCTTGCGTGCGCTCGGGTATCTCCATCTCCATCTCCATCTCCATGGAAATCATCTCTTTCTCTCTCTTTGCGTGTGTTCGAAATGAGGATTCATCTTTTCGTCGAGATATAGACAGGGGATAAAAGTCTTGGAAAAGGGGGGGGGGGGGGGGTTGGTTTCGCTTCCCACGTCTCAAACACGTTTCAAAGTCTTACGGGTACACGGACTTGCTCTAACCCGGTACCTTACTTACCAAGCCCCCCAGCAACTCTTTTAAACGTTTTGGATTTTCCCCCCCGTGCTGTAACCCCTCCAAGCCTTCCAAGACTACTTTTAACGCCGACTGACTCCCAACATCTCATCACGCGTCAAGGTAGCGATGGGTTTCGCTCATTCGCTTGTTCTCACTTCTACGGAAACGGAAACGGAAGACATGGATGTCGAGTCGAAGAAGCCGTGTTCCATGGTGATGTTTAACACAACATTTTCTACCCACACTCGGCATGGATGAAGCTTCAACAACACATGCGGCGAATGGCGATGGCTTCGTTAGGACTTTGTCGAATCTCAAAAGATTGTTATTCTGCGAAATGGACACGCAAGCTGCTTGCTTTTCCCAAGCCTTCTCGCCACTCCGTCGAATAATCCTCATTCACGTTTATCTGTTCCTCTGTTACTGTCTTCTTAATCCTCATCATAACGTGTTCATCCTCCGTCCCCAAAAACTATTTAGGTAGCCAAATTATGCTTGATACTCCCACAAACTGTCATCCGCCAATTTATCCATGTTGGGGTCTTATATAACATGACACCTTCGCGAATAAGCCAACAGACTATAAGACATACACACACCATATCCTTAACAAAGGGACACACCCCATAGCAATCTTGGAGACGTTACTTCCTAATCCATCACACATCATCCGTTCCTCCTACTTATTTAACAATATTTCCACATCGCTGAGTCATCTTAAACACTTCTTCAACCGCCACGCATAGTCTTTCCAAATCATCAAAACATTTAGAGGGCATAGGGGTTGAGCGAGCGGATAGTGAGACACCTTAAGAGTTTGGTTAGTTATGCATGATGTAAAAGGAGAAGGGATATATAACTTACGGTGGGCTCTTGGAGAGGTCGGTCTTGAGAATGACAGGCACACGGGTCATCTCCGTCACATCCTGGATGTACTCGCCACCCTCCTCGCGGAGCTTGAAGAGCTTCAAGTACTTCTCCTTGTTGGTCAAGCGAGCCTCAGGCGTGTCACCGACAGGCACCTTCGAGTCGGACCGGGTACGGTGGAGGGTACCGACAGCCTCAGCCGCAGACTGAGTAGGGGAACCGGGCACGCTCTGAGTCGGGCGCTCCGCAAGAGATGCGCCGGCCATAGCCTCGGTGATATCAGAGGCATTGTCCTCGATGTCGTCCTCATCTTCGAACAGAGCGTCAACATCATCGTGCGAGACGGTACCAGTTTCGATCTGCTTGCGCGCAGTCTCCTCGCGCTCCTTCTTGGCGCGGTCAGCCTCTTCGGCCTGACGAGCCGCAGCGAGAGCATTCGAGATGCGCTGAGAAGCAGCAGCCTTGGGACGCTCATCTTCGGGGACATAGGCGGAGCTGGGAACGCCCTTCTCCCAGTAAAGTTCGAGAACTCTCTTCTCTTTTCTGAACTCGGCCTTCTTCAAAGGAAGCTGATCGCAGTGGACGCGCTTCTCGAAGCCCCACTCGGGAATGAGAACGTCAAAGGCAGACTCGTACACACAGATGACGATACCCTCGCTAATCAGGTCACCATTGACCTCCTGACGCTTCTTATCCATAGTGCGGCAGGACTCAATGTGAACGCTCTGTTCCTGAGCGTTTTGAGCTGAGTCTTTCTTGGTGTTGCAAGCCTCGACGGTCTTGACAAGGTTCTCCAAGTCCTCAGTATATTCAATCTTTCCATCGGAAAGGACAGCCTCAAGCTGACGATGGACAATGATATCGGCGTAGCGCCTAGTGGGGTAAGTGAAATGAGTGTAGAGGGGCAAGTTCAAGGCATAGTGAGGCCAAAGAAGACTGGCAGTCTTGCCAGCAATGAAGTACTTGGCGCGCTGCATGGACTTGACGAGGAGGGTCTCCATACCCTTCCTGATGTCAGAATCGTCAATCTTGAACAAGCTGTTCTGTAGGGTACCGCTGCTGGTGGCATCAATGTCATAGCTCAAAGCAGTCATGCGATCAACGATAGTTTGCAGACGGCGAGAGTTGGGTGCAGACTGTCTGCGCAGAAGAGCCTTCTCCGGAAGTCCCTGCGCAAGGCGCTGGGCAACATACGTGTTGGCCTTGTGCATAAGCTCTTCAACAAGCTCGGTGGCCTGGCTAGACTCGAAAATGTTGTGCTTAGGCGGGATGTTCTCATCATCAAGCTGCTGAAGGAGACGAAGAGGCGCAATGGGCTCGCCACCGGCACCCAAGCGAGCTTCGCGGAACTTCTGAGCGACAGCGTTAAGAATCTGGATATCCATAGCCTTCACGGACGGATGCGAGAATCCACTGCTACCAGAAAGGGCTTCATCGATCTGGTTAAGCGACACCTTTCCGCCGCTCTTGACGATACCCTTTCCAATCCAAGTGTCGCCTTCAGCCACGGCACCAGTCTGGGGGTTGACGTGGAACACAACGCTGAAGGTCAAGCGATCCTGTTCAGGAGTGAGGGTGCAAAGCTCGCTCGACAGCTTGGGGGGAAGAAGGGCACAGAAGCGGTTGACGAGATGGACCGCAGTGCCGCGCTTCTTGGCTTCACGGTCAACGAGTGAACCGGGCTTAACGAAGTGGGCGACATCGGGAACATGAATACCGATCTCGATCTTACCATCAGGCAACTGCTTGAAATGAACACCGTTGCCAAGCTCGACAGAGCCATCCAACTCAACAGTGAACACATTCTCGCCACGGAAGTCACGGCGAGTGGCAAGAGCAGCTTGATCCTCACTCTCAAGCGACCAGTCTTGCTGGCTGACGTTGCGCAAAACGGCCTCAGCAAACTCGTCGGACGCGAAGTTGTTGTCACGAAGGAGGGCGTCGGTCTCAACCTTAAGATCACCCATCTTGCCCAGCTTCTCAACGAGAGTACCGAAAGGATGCAGAGAAGTGATGGGCCAGCGCTTGATGCAAGCCACGAAGATCTGGTCCGCATAGTCCTGGTGCTTCTCCACGAAGTCCTTGGGGGCTTGCTCGGTGGGGATGGCAATCAAAGGAACGCGCTTGTCAGTGGGCTTGAACCAAACAATCTTGGGCTTCTCGTGGGAGCGCGAGTCTTGTTGGCGGCCATTGCCACCGTCTCTCGCAGCGCGTTCGGCTTCCTGCTTCTCCTTGGTAGCCTGGCTGCTCGGGCGGAGCAGACCCAAGGTGCCAGAGAACATCTGGCCTGGAACGCGCTCAATGACGGCAACGATGTGGCCAGCGAAGAGGGGCTGCTGCTCATCATTGATCTCCTCTTCCTCCACCAAAAGAAGACTCTGACCCTCGACTTCGACGTCGTCATTCTTCTTCTGGGTAGGACGCTGTCTGAGACTGCCACGGCGGCGGAGGCCTCCCTCAGCGTTGCCGTTGTCGTCACCAGTGTTTTGGCCTCCGCTAATGGAGCCGGAACGAGTGTCGGTGATATCCTTGCGCTTCTTCTTTTCTTCCTTCTCACGCTTTTGCGCCCACACTTCACCAACATCCAACAACTCGACCGCAACGAGATCACCTTCGAGAGCACGGTTGCGGTCCTTGCTGCCGCAAATGAAGATGTCGGCGGGAAGCAGGCCGTCCTGGGTCGAGACGTAGGCATCGCTTCTGTTCTTCTTGTTCACGCGAAGAATACCAGAAACAAGCTGACCGTTACCCAAGAGGGCGGGAAGAGTAGCTTGGGGAAGGTAAGGAGTGAAAAGCGTCTTGCGCTGTTGTTGCTGGCTTTGCTGACCAGGAGCAGCCATTTGGGGGGCGTGCTGGCTGGCGGCAAGACCAGTAAGTGGCTGGCCATTCATCTGAGCAAGCTGAAGAGCCTGAAGCTGGTTGAGCTGCATCGGGTTGAGTTGCTGGCCAGGGAAAACCTGGGGCATCATCATCTGGCCAGGGAACTGGACCAGCTGAGGCTGTCCAGGGTACTGGAAAGATCCAATGGAGGAGATGGACTGGCTCACAGAGCCGCGGCTGCGATGACCGGGCTGGAAGCCCTGGTTCTGAGGAATGGAAGCGGTCTGGTCCTGAGCCTGGTTCTGGTTCTGGTTCCTCCAGTTGCCGTCGAAGTTGCGGGAACCAGTGCGGGCATGGCCACCACCACGGCGAGAGAAGTCGCTGCCTTGGCCCATAGAGTCAGTAGAGAAATGGCCTCCGCGGCCACCACGGCCATTGGCGCCAACAGCCATGCTCTGGCTCCTACCGTGGCCGCCACGGCCGCCACGGAAGGACGAGCCCTGAGCTATCTGGCCCTCGGCCGGAGCAGGCGTAGCGCTTGGGGTGGTCTTGGCATCATCCTCAGACTTCTCGGAGGAGCCCGAGGCAGGAGCAGCAGGGAACTGGAAGGTAGAGGTCGTACGCTTCTGTTGGGCGATCTCGGCGGCCTTCTTCGCATCGGCCAGGGCCAAGGAATGTCTTCTCTGATGGCCACCGCCGGAACCGCCACGACCGCCACGACCGCCGGTACTGTTCTCTCGGGCGTGACCCTGGGTAGGATCCTGGAAGTTGCCGAAAGTCGAACCAGAGGCACCGGCAGAAGGAGCAGGCGGCGGGCCCCCCATGCCCATGTTTGGAATGGCCGACTGATTACGGCGATGTGAGAGTGGTTGTGTAGGAGGAGCTAGGGACGGCTGCTGCTGGAGCTGAACCGGGAACTGGAAGCCCGCCTGGGGCGCCAAACCAGCAATGGGCTGGAAGTTGGTGAACCCGCCAGGGCCCAGGGGCTGGGTGGCCGGAAGCATACCGAGGTTGGCATATTGAGCTGTAATCTGCTGTTGCTGCTGCTGAAGGAGTTCGATCTGCTGCTGGATGGCAAGCTGTTCCACTGCGCGGAGAAGAATATCCAGTTAGTACGCTACCGCATTGAGGGGGGATGAGGGGTTACAAAAGGATAGAAGGCGGGAACGAGAGGAGGGTCAGGGGTATTATCATTGGCGCATGAAGCTTTTCGCCACGTCCAAAAATAGTCCAGTGCAAAAGCGGTGGGAGGAGGGCCGCGATAGTACACGATGACAATGGCGATGACAACAGCGAAACTCAAAACATACTGTTCGTGTTCGAGAACATACTCATCAACGGGGTCAGCTCCGAAGGGCTTCTTCGGTGGGCGATATGGAGCCGTCGGCCGGTGGGACCAGGGACGCCTCCTTGAGGCTGCTGTTGCTGGTCCATGATGCAGGAGTTTGCTGGGACGGACAGGTGCAGATGACTTTTGGGGTGATCCAGGCAGAAAAAGGTGCACGTCGAGTGCGAATGCAAGGCGAATTCGGCGTTGGAAACTAAAGCGTGTGACGAACGAAGAGCACGAGCCGAGTCGAGTCGAGTCGAGTCGAGTCGAGTGGGAATCGAATCGAGGCGTAGTCGACCGAACTGAGACGAGGAGGTTAGGTTATTGAGCTGTGTTTGTTTATCTTTTTTGTGTGGCCGGATTGCCGTTGCGATGCATCAGATGCGATGAATGGAGTTCCGGTATGTTTGGTTGCGGTGCGGAGACGTGGTCGCCCCAAAGGACAGTTTTGTTTCGCAGTAGAGCGGATTGGATGAAATTGAAATCGAGTCCAAAGAGGTTTATAATGAGAGATTGAAAAGTTGCTACGAGGGAGTGTAGAGATAAGGGAGGGAGGTGTCCGGCTTTGCGAGTTGACGTTGAAGCTAGAAAGCCTGAAGCCGATGCGGGTTGAGGTTCGTGGGGACGGAAAGGGAAAGGAGAGTGCAGGAGGAGGAGGAGTTCGGAGGTGGTGGAAGGTGGAAGAGGAGGAAAGAGGTTCGCTGCTATAGAAAGTCAGGAGGACTGGACCTTGAACCTGGGAGGAGCATTGGAGAGGAGGAGCACACATCAGCACCGCAGGCAGAGGGCAGTCAGCGAGAGGAACCTGAAAGGTCAGGTCCATTCCTGTCTTGTACCTGCTACCAGTGACGAACTGATGCGTGAGAACGACGGGATGGGCCTGGCAGCAGTCCCGCCTTCACTGTCCTGAGGTCCGTCCCTCCTTGGAGGCGCATACACGGTGCGGCGGCGGCAGCAGCGGGCATCGTCTGGTCCCCCCGCCGCTTGCACCTATAACCTATCAGCGCCGGTGGGCAGCCCGCTGCAATGGTCTACCAAACCTATAGCGGGCAGTCAAGAACCACCACGGCGTTCCACTAGCAGCGACTACTCGCTCCAGACAGCTGAAAGGTCGCCCCCAGTGTTAGTAGCGCCAGGGTGCAAGTGCGCACGGTGTTAGGGTGCACCGGATACACCATGTGCGCGACACACCGTGTGCTCCTCTTACAACTACCCAATGAAGCAACCTTTGAGCCCCCTTTATAGACCCGTTTCCTTTCCCTCGCCTTGGTTTAAAATTAATTACAGACTGACGACACATCGATGGCATAGTCTCACGACTCTCTATTCGACAGCAAAGAGCCTCGAAGGGTCGAGGTCACGACGGGAGCATCCGTGGGAAGCTCTCAAAAACGCCAGTGGGGAAACAGGTCAGACTTGGGAAAATCGCGAATCACAAATGGCAGAAGTGGACACTCGTTAATCGTCTTTACCCCATACCTCATTTAGTTTAGATTCATGGAATCTCAAACATGGCGTATGCTGGGCGAAGCTTCCCTGTCACAAATGTGTCTTCACAGGAACGGGGACAAGAGGCTCGAGAAGTAGTTGAGGATACGTGCTCACATATCTTTTGAGAGAAACTCAACGGTGGTTGGAAAGGGGATCATCAACCTATGTCATGATGTACCGGGCATCACTGGGGAAGGTGGCCTGGCCTTGCTGGCGTAACAGGGAAGACGTCAGTGATAATGGTGACACCCGAAACCCTGGCTCGTCGTGAGTACACCGCATAAGACGACAGCCGTGTCTCCCGTCTCAGAAGCTCCGGCAACCTTCTTTCGAGTCTGCCTCATCATTCACCGTACAATTATCTACAGTTATTGAAGAGAACACACGGCTGCCTGCGGGAACTGATGGGGTTGCTATCTACACACAAAGACCACAGCCCGACCCCCCTGTCGTCGATGTTTGTTCTTCTTGTCCTCAGCTCCCACGAATGGAGATGATTTGCAGAGGCCTGCAACGAAAAGCTGTTTCCTTGATTACATCACACAGCTTGCAATGGAGTTTGCTTGAAATTTCTACTAGGTAGAACGTTGACTAACCTTGACTTTGTATGTAAGTAGGTACATACGACGGCGACTCTGGTGTTGATGCCTTCGAAGCTCTTTTTCCTGAACGCAGAGGTCGTCAAGTATTCCAAATTCGACGCCATCCACAGCTTATAACCATTTTCTCTTCCCTATCAGCACAGAGTCTGAATGGAGGCCTGAGCACCCAGAGAAATTTCAGCGCAACACAATCCAAGCTGACATCTTAACTTGGATGATTATACCCAAAGTCCCCGCCGCTTTGTAGGTACAGAGTATGTAGGGTCTTGTCGACTACAATGCACCAAACTCAGTGTTCGGGTTGGTTTATAAACAGATACCACTTCCATCTGTTCTGCCCCACCATGCCGCTAACCAGACACAGTAAGAACAACAGAGATGCCAAGACTGAATCATGCACCCGCAGGGTGTACCTAATTGCTTTTCAATTCGCGGCGCGCGCAAAGTACTCCAACTCCATTTGATAGTATCCATTCACTACATATCCTAGCCCTCCGCAACTGTTGAACCGAAGACAAAACCCGGACGATCGCCTCAACCTCTTCCCGTCTCTAAACGAAACAGCGATATTTCTGCTTGACTTCCCTCAGTGTACCACCAGTTCGGCAATTGTTACGGGTACCTGGGATTGTCAAGCAGCAAGCGCATCCAACCACCGACAGGATGGCTGGCTCGTCCCCCGCTCGCCCAAACGGCAACCAGTGGGCAAGCCCTTCTTCACGATCAGTCATATCCGACATTCTCGCTGGCGACCGCAATTCCGAGGCTCGACACAGACTTCTGATTGAGGCAGCAAGGAGGGAACATGAACGTGTGCGCGAGGAGGCCGAAAGGGTATACCAGGAACACCTGTGGAGACAAGAGCAGGAACGCCTGATCGAGGAACGGAAGAAAGAGGAGGACAGGATACGGCAAGAAGAACAGCTTGCTGCTGAGCGAAGGAAGATCAATGCTCTCAAGGCAAAGAAGGTCGAAATCCCGCCCGTTTTGCCCGACCCCGAACCAGTAAAGGCACCACCTCCAGCCCCGAAGCCTGCCTCAACGCCAACTCCGTCACAACCACTCGCGACTCAACTCAATGGCAGTTCGCTCTTCGGAAAGACACCCGATACACAGGCTGCGTCTGCATCAGCTGCGCCGAAGGGGTTTGGAGCGTTTGGACAGACATCAACAAGTGCGCAACCCGCCACTGCTGCCCCGAAGCAAACAACGCCTCCAATTGCAGCCTCCTCTTCACCTGCGGTCAACAACTTGCTAGGAAACAGTACCCAGGTCAATGGAGTCACGGCGCCCGCGACCGTTGCTAAACCACAGGCACCAGCGCCCGCGCAGCAAGGACCCGACCGCTTGACAGTTATTCACAAAAACCTAAAACTGCTGCGCAAGTCAATGTTGGACCAAGCAAAAGCGAATCCGGCGCTCAAGTCTCGCATGGGAGATATGCGCCGAGAGATCAGGAAGTGTGTTGGACAACTCACGGGAGGCGGCGCAGGAGTTAACCGTCAACAGGTACTGACACGAACTTCATTCTGCTCTCGGATTTTTGGTGGCCTGCGCTAACCAGACACAATAACAGAACAATACCATCGCTGCTCTGCTACGCGAGGCGCTCGAAACCGCGTGCAGTCTCAGCTCGTTGACCCGAATACTTTCCTCGTCGAACCACGAGCGCCGGTCCAAGGACCTACCAACAACGATCCGCAGATCCCGTCACTCTTTATCTACCTACTGAACGTTTTCGCCAAGGCGACCATCTCTCAGTTCATCAACGAAGGCGGCCCGCGCCCGGAGACAACCGATCCCGTGGGCGTATGTATCGCCGCCATATTTTCCGATCCGGCCTTCGCGTGGCGCGGGGCCTCCTTGATCGACATCCTTTTCGCCAAATTTCGTGTCGTCTGTCCCGTGCTCTGGGGCTACAGAGGCAGCGAAAAGACAGAGCAAGGACGCGCCAGGATAGGATGGTGGAAAGAGAACGGAAGATGGGTTACGGAACAGGCACATTTTGACCGCATGACGGGTCTCGGTGCCGGCTTTGCCGCAATATCGTTGCGAAACTTTGGCTCGTCCAAGAAGCAGAACCCATACCCACCACGTCATTACTGGGCGGCCATGGCGAAGATCATCAACACCCCTTCAGCAGAGATATCCAACACCCAGTGTGTGGTTCTGAAAGCTATGATCCAGAACTACGAGGAAAAGTTTATCCACGCGTATGGGACCGCTGCTCTTGCGGCGTTAAGGACAGCGCTTGTCGAGTTCCCTGCTCGGGCGCCGGTCAAGTCCAGTGCTGTTAATTCGTTACAGGTTGTCTATGACCTGCTCAGGAAGAGTACTGGACTTGTTCTTGGATAAGCGGTCGGTCGTCTAAGGAGTCAGGGACAAGGCTTGTCCCATCACATGAAAGGAAAAAGTCATATCAACGGCGTTCAGGGATCTGTTCATTTTAGGTTGTTAGCATCTTGAAACGATAACGTCTGTCATATGTCGGTTACAAAAAGCTTGGTGTTCTATCGGAGGAAGAAGAAGAGGAGGAGGAGAAAGGACTTCCTAGCGTATTTGACGCTTTCTGTTATATACCCAGCGTATCTACAATTAAGGGAGCGAAGCTCGTAGCGGGCAAACAGAAACAAAAACCTAGCACAGCAGCGCTTAGAGACAGCCTTATATCGGGCGCAGAATTGAGCATTTGCATGGCTCAAACATCCTTGCTGACAACCGATGCCCGTGTGAAAGTGAGCTTAAAGTAGCAACAATTACTGGCCATCGTAGTGCTCCAATAGTTCATTAATGTATTACCGTGTACCCGTCCATCATAAGGTGTACGTATAAGAAGAACAGCATGTTAGGAGAATCAAAATTATCAATACACCCCTCTCAAACTCCTCTTAAACCGACAAGAACCCCAAAGAGAAACTAGCCCACATAACCAACCCAAGAAGCAACCCCGATCCTGCTGCTCTCCTTGCTTAGCTCACAGAATCAACAACAAAACCAACAACATAATCAGCACAAAGATCAACACGGCAATACAACAGCTGCTCAGCGCATCCTCGTTGTGCCTCATCACATACTGCAACTTCTGCATCCCCGTCTGCAACCTCCCCCCGACGCGATCCGCCAAATCGTCCGCCACCTCCAACATCTCCCTCTGCTCCTCCAGCTCGCGGCCCATGTCGTCCGCCTGCCTCCTTAGCACGCCGACCGTCTGGAACACCCCGTCCAGATGCTGGTCCTGCTCGCGCATCATCTGCAGCTGTTGCTGGTGCTCGAATTCGGCTGCGTAGTCGTCATCCTGTTCTCCAGAACCATTTTCGCCGTCGGCGATGGCGAAGGAGGATGGGTCTGGTAATTGGTCTTTTGTGTTGTTTTTGGATACGGCTTTTGAGGCAAGCTCCTGCCGCATGTTCTCCACCTCGGCCCCGACATCCTGCACTAGGCGCTTGCGCCGGTTCACTTCGTGCGCTGACAGGCCATATTGCGTGGGATCGCGCTCGACGGCGTTGACGGACTCGACGAGGTCGGCGAGGTCTTCGGCGAGGGAGGAAAGGGCGGATTCGAGATCGGAGCGGGCTGAGATTAGCTCGGGGGAGTCGGTGGATGAGGAGGACGAGCTGAAGAGAGAGCGGATGCGCAGGTAGGAAGTGAAGAGGGAGCGGGTGGATTGGAGTTGGGCTAGGACGTCCCTGTTTTTGGAAGTTGGGTTAGTTGTCTGTCAATGTGAATGCTGTGTTGTGGATGTTTTTGTGGTTTTGTTGACTGAGAAAAGGGGCCGCGGGAGTTCATACTGTTGGACCTCAAGGAAGGGGTCCTCCTCGTTCGTGGAGGACATCACCGCGCTGCTACGAAGAGGAGGAGGAGGAGGAGGACAGGTAAAGTGTAAACATTAGTTGTCAGTCGCATCAATCGACATGCGCCGGCCTTTTCCAATTCAAAATCGAGGCCCGAGATTCACTGCACAAGAGATTGGGGAAAGTCGTGGTATAGTAAGATGTTCTATTGTGTTTAATTATTCGGGAAGACTAGAATGACGTTGCGGCCGGCAGGGTTCACGATCTCGGCGAGACACACTGCAATGCCTAGCGGGCGCTGCACATGCAAACGCGCCCCAGATTGACACCCCCCTTTCGGTTCAAGGGGGTGAGTCTAAAAATAAATTGTGGTTCTGGACCCGCCGTCGGCTTGGCGTGCGGCACCTCTTTGGCTGCCCCGCTTCTGCAGCTCCTGCTCGTCTCAGGGCAATCGCAACAGCCATGAGCGAATCCAATGTTTCGAGGGGCTCTTGTCCGTCTGAATGGTGACCTGCTTGCCCCTGTTGTTTTGAGGGGAAATTTTGAGTCCCTTGTCTGACCCCAACGTGGAATTGGCCACTGCGGGCACGTCTGAACAAACACCACAAAATGCATAGTGTAGGAACGGGGGAGGTTGGCGGAGGACGCGCGCTGTCGGTCCGGCCGTCAGTGTTTGGCTCCATGTTCCCCAGTCGCGCGGGACAGTGGAGGGCAGCTCGCCCGATTTGGTAGGTGAAACGTAGCTTCAACGGAGCCGGGGACCGAGAGAGAGTCGCAGTGTATAATCACGGTCACTGGCGCATTGTTCCTTTCTTTTCTTCTCTTTTTCCTCTTCTTCTTCTTTTTCTTTTTTCCCATCCACTCTTTGACTTGGGTCAGGTCGTTATCTTTTCCCATTTCATCCCAGACCATCGTAAACACAGTCAAGATGTTCAGCTTCCGGCGATTCCTCCTCGCCGCTGCGCTGTTCCTCGGCGCCATGCTGCTCTTTGCGCAGTCCGCCGAGGCAGCCAAGGGCCCCAAGATCACCCACAAGGTCTACTTCGACATTGAGCAGGGCGACAAGCCCCTCGGCCGCATCGTCATCGGCCTCTATGGCAAGACCGTCCCCAAGACCGCTGAGAACTTCCGCGCTCTCGCCACTGGCGAGAAGGGCTTCGGTTACGAGGGCTCTACCTTCCACCGTGTCATCAAGCAGTTCATGATCCAGGGTGGTGACTTCACCAAGGGCGATGGCACCGGTGGCAAGTCCAGTATGTTGCTCCCAAGTCCTGTTATTCACTAAGGGGGTCATAGTATTGACTGGTTATGTACAGTCTATGGTGAGAAGTTCGCCGATGAGAACTTCAAGCTCAAGCACACCAAGAAGGGCCTCCTCTCCATGGCCAACGCTGGCAAGGACACCAACGGCTCCCAGTTCTTCATTACCACTGTCGTCACCTCGTAAGTTGACACGCTCTAGCTGTACGGTCTAGGGAGTGCCCGGTTGGCTAACACGCGTCATGTTGCAGTTGGCTCGATGGCAAGCACGTCGTCTTCGGCGAGGTCCTCGAGGGCTACGATGTCGTTGAGAAGATCGAGAACACCAAGACCGGCGCTCGTGATGCTCCTGTTGAGGCCGTCAAGATCGCCAAGAGCGGCGAGCTTGAGGTTCCCCCTGAAGGTATCCACGTGGAGCTTTAAAAGGCGTCTTCTACCCATCTTTGCAAACCCCCAACCCCCTGCCATTTATGTTTCCAAACCTATGTGGGAGATGTCATAGACAAGAGAGGAAAGGATATAGAAGAAAAAGTCTTTTGGAAGCCTCATACCTATCATGATGTCCTACTTGTGGATTTGGTTGCCTGTCTTTTATGACCATTTACCCGTGTGTATGAGTCCATGTGCTGATGAGTCGGTGTTTTTCTCATCAGGCCTGGAAGGCCAAGCCCAATGGGCATCTCCCGCGTACGCAGACGAAGACGAGAAACCTGCTGCTCCTGTCCCTGTCTCCGACTCCAAGCCTCCTGCTCACGGCAGCATCCCCGCCGCCGCTGCCGACGAAGACGAAGGTGCCCCTTTGCTCGCCAAGGTTCTTTTCTTTGGCGTTTTGGTCACCGGCCTCGTCGTGTATATTCGCCTTCGCCGCGCCCCTAAGGGTACGTACGGAAAGGGTATGGAGTAGATAACACCTCGACAGTCTGAAATCTGACAAGCTGCACAACAGGTAGCTACTGGGGTCAGGGCGGTGGTAACTAGGGCAGACGATTGGGTGTTAAATTTACTCTAGGATCAAGATATGGCTCATTCGGAGCATAAATTCAAAGGCAGTCTTTTCCTTGTTTCAGGAGTAGTCGTGGCGCTGATGATGATTGCTATGGCAATGTGGTGGTGTGTCTGTAAGTCGAAGCATAAAGTAGCATCACGTGGACCCACATTTGCATCCGTTCCAGTCGCTGGGATATCGAACTTTTTTTGTAGTACAGTCAGTACCCGACTTGTAAACTACTACCACTACAGGAAATGAAACCTTGAACATCTTTTTTTTTTCTTCATTACTGTATCACCTCAAAACTCCGTCTCAACAAATCCAAAAACAAATCAAAATCGAAATATCATATTCAACCAAAAATCGATCAAGATGAAGGTCATGACCCTCAACTTTCTGACCTGCGCGGTCAAGAACTGCAAGTCGTCCAACGACTCGTTCCCGCTGCACCCCAAGGAGGCCGAGCTGGCCAAAGACGATATCGAGATCAACCCTCAACTTCTGATCAATGTCCTGCCCCGCATCGACTGGGCTGCTCTGCGGACCACCTCTACTGAGGTACGTTGTTGTGAACATAATTTTTTTCCGTTCAATCTGACTCAAACCATTCCGATGCAATTTTCACCTCTCCTCTCCATCTCACTCCTCTTCCTCCTCATTCACTATTGATCCTCATCGAAACGCCTTCACTAACAAAATACCACCCCCAGCTCGGCTTTCCCACGCTCCCCGAGCAGCCCCCCTCGCCAGAGGATCTCCAGTCCGACGAGGCTCTCCTTAAGGAGCTCCACGAGCTGCTTATGGAGACCCAGATGATGGAGGGCAAGCTCGTGTGCGGTCACTGCGGGCACGAGTACGCCGTCAAGAACGGCGTCGCCAACTTTCTCTTGCCTAGTCACTTGGTATGAGCGGAGCGCGGGCGGATGCGAGGCGTTTTCATGGACCGGTTGGATCAGTTGGACCGGTTGGAGAAGTATCTAATCGGAAAAACATCATCGGGTGATCGGCATGGGTGACAGCACCGTCAAGAGGGAAGAGTGGCTCTCACTTGGACTCAAGGGGCGTGATACCTGGCTGGCCATCTACAGGGGAGCGATCGATGAATGGGTGGTCTGGTGGTGATCCAGGGTTGATCAAGGGCTATAGTGTCCAGTCGCTCCTGGGGAGAAGAATGAATGGTAGGGGCTCGGAGGATGGCGACGACCTTTTCTTGAGGGGCGGTTATTTCAGCATTTTACTTGTTTCACTTTCAAGGCGTTCTGTGAGGGAAAACATCAATAGAGGCATTACCTGGCAATATCAGCGGCGTACACAAAAAGATTCATTCACCCAGGCCAAAGTTTGGAAAGTGGCACATGCTTCATACATAGTATTGCTCGTGTGTACATTCTTGTTTTCATTCCCATATCTTCTGTTGTTCTAGTGTACGAATGCGCAATGCTTTAATGATACCCAACCAAGAACAAGAACCCTCGAACTCCGACCTAGCCCCCAAACCCATATAGCATGATTCCACGACCGAACAGACCTTTCATCCTACCGCATGCGCATCTGTTGTTCGCTGCATCCCAAGCCCCACAAAAACTAGGAACGAGTCCTCCAGGTAGTTTACTGCTGCTTCTTCTGCGCAGCCGGTCCCATCTCCTTGTCGAAAGCGCCATACGAGACCTCGAGACTACCGAGAGCCCTCAGTCCGACGCCAAGAATGGAGAGCATGACAATCAAAGCGATAATGGCCACGAAAATACCTAATCCATGGTTAGTAAAGTGTCTTTGTAAGGGAAGCAGCGTACAAAATGACATACCAGGAGTGAAGAACTGATACTTCACAAACAGCGGGCGGTTGTCATATGTGGTGTTGCCCTTGCCCTTGCCCTCCTGAGAGTCGACATCTCCACGCTTGAGATCCATATGGACTGGCTCGATGAAGTCAGGCTGGTAAGCCTTGAACTCGTTAGGGTCCGATACCATGACAAGGGTATAATCGCCCTTGAGGGTGTCGAGCGTAAGGCCCAGCTGATCGTCTAAAGTTGCACATGTTAGCACAAGACAACCTAATAGCCCTCCGAACTGAACATACCATTAGAAGCCATAATTTGCTCCCTCTTATCCATGTGCTCCAGGGAAGGCAGATGCATGAGATCAACCTTGACAATACCGGCAACCTTCCCCTTGGCCGCACAGGCTTCCTTCACATAATCCTCCAACGAGTGGGTGGAGAGGTCGCCGACCACCTCCGCAACGCTGAACCGTCCCTTGATATCCTTGCTGGCGATTGTGTCACAAAGACTGCGCATCTTGCAGTGGGAGCCATCGCGAATATCGGCGGCGTGGACGTTGGGTTGGGATACGATAACGTAGTCCCTCGTGGGACAAGAAGAGAGGATCTCCTTGGCGGAAGCAATTACTTGATTGCTGGTCTGAAGTTGATCGTACTTTTCGGGTGTGTTGAGCCTAGCAATTACAGTTTCGACGTGTTAGCACAATGCGTTTGAATGCGCAAGATGGGTTAGATGTGGCACAAGATCATGATGGCGCGAAGGCAAGGGACACCACCCGCAACGACAATTGGACATGACGTACTTGGAGGTGGAAAAGAGGACAAATGGTGAAGAGTCAGAAAAAGCATGCACCGCCGTGGAGGCGAGCAGAGTTGTTGCTATTGAGAGTTTCATGGCTGATAGGATGTGCACAACTCTCTCCGATGTCGTTGTCGTCGTCGTTGGTTGTTGTGTTGGAGATGCGATGGGATGGTGTAGTGTACAACCGGTAGCGTGGTGTAGCTCCAGGATCCAGAGCCCGGGAGCGTGGATGTCACTGCACTGAGAGAGTGCCTGGCGTCCGTTGCATGGGATTGGATGCTGGGCGTTCGACCGGCAGGCTGTTGGCGGCTTGACGCCAGCATCAGAGATGGGCGGTACGAAGGGGCAGAATCCGATAAGGCCGTTTCCTGCATTGAGTGAACCTTCGAACAGGGGGGTGCTATCAGTAAATTTACAGTTGACCTAGACTCGCTTACATCCAAACATCCTTCCCGTCCTCACCTCGACTTCTCTCCACACAACGCACTGCAACCAAACGAACTTTCCACTCAAACTCAACGTCATAATGGAGAGAGACCCAGCATTCTTCGCCGCGCCAAGGCCCAAAAAGGATGGCCTCGTGCCGCCGCCCAAGAAGCGCAAGACAGTGCACAAGGTCGAGGAAATCACATTCGACAAGGACGCCCGCACCGAGTATCTTACCGGTTTCCACAAGCGCAAACAGGCCCGCATCAAGGCTGCGAAGGCGCAAGCAGAGGAAGAGGCACGGTTGGAACGAATTAGACTGAGGAAGCAGGTACGTACTTGGACAATCGCTGTTTCTTTCGTATTGCACGGCAGTAATTCTAACCTACGGCGGATGACAGATCAGAGAGGAGCGCGCGAAGAACCTCGAGGAACATATCCAGACAGTGCACAAGCTTCTCCATGAGGCAGAGCGTGCCGGTACAGACGACAAAAGCTCTGAGAAGAAGCCAGACGAAGAGTGGGACGGGATATCCGAGGACGAAGTTGCGGAAGAGCCTGCGCTTGATCTGGAGGAGGAATACATCGATGAAGACCGCTACACGACTGTGACAGTAGAAGCTGTCAGCGTAGACAGGGACGGCATCCACAAACCACGGACCTTGAGAGACGAAGAAGATTCCGAGACGGCGAAGAACAAGAAGAAGAAGGATGCAGCCGAAGAGGTGGCGCAACAAGAGGCCGACAAAAAGTCAAAACGAAACTACCCGGAGAAGAAGAAGAAGAGGAAATTCACATACGAAAGCCGACATGACCGAAACGTCACAGAGAGGAAACAGAGGGCAAAGAAGGCTAAGCGGTCGTAGTGGGTTAGATGACGAAGGAATAATCTGCCGCTGTTCCTGACAGCGGTTCCCTTGCAATATTAGATCTTTCTTAAGTACAATATGTGCAATGCTGGGATGATGGACTATGCTTTGAACTAGTAGGTAATATGAGTTGTACGTGGAAGTGAGATGACGACTTCGTATGTCCATCTTATCTCCCCGTCCGACAACCCGTGGACAAACGGCATAAAGGGTCAGGCTGATATTCTCGATGCGGTGACGCTGTGAACAAACGTAAAAGGAATTTCCACCATGTTCCGACTGCATCCGTCAACCAACTTAGATGTTGGCGATATCGGCCTGGAACTCCTCCAAGCTCTTCTGTACCTCGGCGTACTTCTTGGCCATCTCCTCGTACTTGGACTCCCACTGATCGCGCTCTTGCTCGAGAGCCTGAACCTTGCGCTCGAAGTGGCCGGCCTTGACGTCGGTCTGGCGAAGTCTATAAAGCGAGAAAAATGGCTTATTAGTCTCAATATCGTAAAGAAAAGGGGTTCAGGGGTGCAGGGGTGCGGGAGGTCAGGGGCCCCCCCATTTCATCGTCCAGGAACGGATGATCTTCGATGAGAACGTACTTCTCGTTGGTCTCGCGAAGAGTCTTGTCAGCTTCCTCGGCCTCCTCTTCAAGAAGTTGAAGTCTCCGTGTCAGCGTCTCGTTCTGAGTGCCTTGTTGCGCGCCATCCTCGGCGGCGCTCTTCAACTCCTTAACCTGGGTCTCAAGCTTGTCCACCTCACTTTCTAGCACGCTGTTCTTGTGGGAGAGAGAGGTAATCTCCTGCTCCTTCTGGAGGTTCTCCTGCTCGAGGGTCTTGATCTTGGTCTGGAGCTCCTCGACCTTACCCGAAGCCTCGTCAGCCTCGAGGCGGAGCTGGTTCATTTTCTGCAAACATGATCGCGCTGGTCAGCATTCTGTCGACCAAAGAGTATCGCGATAATAGCGTCGAGTCGTCGCGGGCATGTTTAGGCCTTCACGAGCAGGCCTGGGGACTACGGATGTGGCGGTGGCCGTAGCTGGTTGTTGCTCCCATTAAGGGGTTACGCATCGCTGGGCAGTTGGTGGGGTCCACCCCAGGGATCAAGCTCTCGAAAGCGGTGATGTTTCTTACCTCCTTGATGCGATCCATTGTGGCGGTATTAGGTATTTGTGTGGTAGAAAGGTGAAATTAGAAGAGCGTGATGGTGCGAGCTGAAGGGTATCTTGAGTGCGAGAAGGGCAGCTTATGAGGATGGTGTGGATGTGTGGTTGGGTTGATGGAAGGGAAGAGGAGAAGGAGTGGAAGGTAGCGGACAGTGATAGTGGGTTTGCAATATGAGAGTGCCCCTCCCCTCCATAACGGACGCCTGCGTGTCTCCCTCGCCTGCCGTGACTGGGGACAGACGGGAGCCATACATCGTGCCCAGATCGGGGGTCCAGCTGATCCAATTGACCCAGTGCGTCAGTGCGCCAGCGGGCGGTCTGGCAAGTCTGACCCTCTGAATGGGCTGCTCGCGGCTTCCCGCTGTCTTTCAATTTCCATCTTCATCCACTGGGACTTGTCGGTCTGGTCCCGTCTCCTGGAATCCAACAAGGGGTCGGCTCAAAGTGGGGCAAGTCAAGTTGACCAACTCAACCCGTTGCTCGGCCAACGCTTCGCCCGATTCACCCACAAACAACCGTCTGGTCCAAGCACTTTGAACGGAAGACCATCCAACTGCTGGATCCTTTCTCCGCGCAACTAATATACGACTTCACAAAACTTTGGACATTTGGGGGTAATCCCGTCCCAAAAAAACCAACAATGTTCGCAACACAGCAAGACCAAGAAAATCGCATCGCGCATCAAGCTGGGATTACCAAACAACTCCCAGCAAAGACACCCGGCGCTTTGTACCCCAAAACGCCGTTGAAGGTTCCACTCAACGATGAGAACACCACTCGAGTGTTTGGCGGAAAGGGCACGATTGTAAAAGGCGATAATGGCTTCACCAAGGGAGCTCGGGCAAACATGATGACACCCGGTAAGTGCTCCTTTGATCCCTTTCCACAATTGTAAGAGGTTGGTTGCGCAAAGAATATGGGTTGACCATTTATCGCAGCCCCTCGAACTGCCAGAGCGCCACTCGGGAACAAAACTACCAACGCAAAGGCAAGAGCGACACAACAGACCGGAGGAGGCAAGGAACTAGGCGGCGATCTGAAGTCAACCGTGAAACCAACGACGACCCTCCTTCAGAAGCAGGCCGCACCGCAGACCCAAGACTCCAAGCTGGAAGTGCATGTTGACACCAAGCCGAAACATGACGAAGAAGAGGAGATCGAGTACTGTCCTCCTCCGGCCCAGGATCTTCCGTACGAGTCCGACGTCCTCCCTGCGCACGCCCTGACCTTCGAGTCGCTGAAGCCTGAGAACATGTTCAAGGGATACTACGAGTATTACTATAAGAAAGTGGACGACAATGGCATGACAGCCAAGGAGAGGGAGATGGCAGAGCGGCAACAACGCAACTTTGCACGCGGCGACGAACAAATCACGAAAGACATGGAGGCATTCGATTGGAGTATTGGCGACGTTCCTGAGAGCAAGGATGTCTTTAAGAAGACTCAAGTGGACGCATCTGCAGTTGCTCGTTCTGGAGAAACTAAGAAGATTGGATGCCTACCAAGCAGGCCGCCCAGTACATTGGTAACCCGAAGAGCTGCTTCCGCTCTGTCCCATACTTCCGCGAGGGAACGAAGCATATCCCGCCCACAGTTGAATAGCAAGCCCTCTTTGACGGCCGTTAACAAAGGCAGTCTCTTTGCGCGCAAGCCGTCTTTATCAAATGCAAGCCACGCCAGAACCCTGTCGAAGGACCGTCCAACCTCCACTGCGGCATCTCGGAACACTCTAGGATACACCAGAGGCAGATCTGTTTCCGAAGCGACAAGACCGGCCAGCGCTGCTGCCAGTAGTCAACAGCAACCGGGGCCAAGGCCTCGTAATTTCTCCCGCACCAGCAGTCTGGTGTCGAATGGGTCAGACAGCACCATCACACCGGCTCGGTTTGCGCAGGCTCAGACAACACAGGAGGTCCAGAAGCCACTTGGGCTCCTGTCCATCTTCACCCATGATGAGGAAGGAGAGCACAGTGACCATGAGACCGTGCCACATTTTGACGATTCCGATGATGATTTCCAGCTCTCTACCGACTTCTGAGCACAGGCGGGCATTGCAAGTTAAGAACTTGGTGGACATTCTTCCAGTTAATTTCTCTGCATGAGCGGCGTGGGTGTTTAGGTATCGTATCGTTACGGAGTTCAACGACTGGTTGGTAAAATGTATTGTTACGATGGTTGGTTGGTTGGTTGGCTGTTCGCTTGGTATGGCCGGTTCTTTTACGCACCATACAATGTTTTATGATCAAGCGCTTTTATGGTTGGCACTGGGAGAGGGTTGGTTGGTTCCATGGTGTTGAATCTTCATTGTCGGAGCAAGCATTGATTATTTGGCGTCTGTCCGGAAGAAAGGCGAATAAATCGCCATAATGATGATGTTCTTGGACCTTGTTCGGTGTTGGGAATCGGCAACCGTATAGAACTAGGCTGTCAAAATTGCAAAGCAGGGGACAACAACCTTGTAGGTTTTACTGTATCCAACAATCGGACGCTTTTAGCACTCTGCGTAAAACAGCAGAAAGCGAGTCTTTGAACCTTGCTATTGTCAAGTTAAACTTTTGAACAAACTGCATCCTCCGGCCGTCAGTTGTTGGCAATATAGGTATGCGATCATCACCAACAAATAGTCTTGAGCCAACAGCTCCAACAGCTCCAACAGATATGTTCTCCAAGTTTTTCATGCCCTTTATGGTGATGGTGACAAAGAACGGAGTTGGGGGATCTTGTGAAAATGCAATGACGCAGTTGGCTGTAAGAGAAATGGTAAACAGACAGTGGACACTGTGACATGTGGAGGCCCCCCCTCTTGCGCTTTCACGTTCTTGGCGGAAGACAGCAGACGCGACAAATGAAGCGCGACACGGTCTTTAATTGTGGATGCACAGACCAGCTGGATGCTTGGCGCAGGACGGACCTGAGAGTAGCTTGCCGCTTTAGGCTTAGCAAATCCCCTTATCCGCCTGCCGCCGTTGCTCTTCCACGCTTCCATCTTTCAACTTTCAGCGGCCGGCGCAAGAATCCACGGTCCACAACCTGGTCTGCGTTGCCCATGCCCTTGTGCCCTTGACGCACCTCCTTGAACACTCTCAAACTTTCGACTTCATTCAATCCCGCCACGATTTTGACCTGCTCACCTCACAACCACCCGTCTCCCAGCGTTTTCCGTGTCGCCGACGTCAGCAGGGCTCGCCGTCGTTATTTGATCCAGATCCATTCCCTCCTTCGCACACAGTCGAGCTCACCACGCCCCTCATTCGCTGTCCCGTTCACCAGCCAGTCGACCCCCGTTCAGCGTCCAGCGTCAGCGCCCGCCCTGATCGGCAAAAGCCCAGTCCAGTCCCGCCCGGTCCTGTCGCGTGGTTCTCTCGCTTTGCAACGCGCGCGTGATTCAAAAAGTTATCGCAACTCACGTTGCCCTCGACTTCGGCCACGGCCCAGCTCAATCGGCACCGCATCGATCCCCTCATGCATGCTATCTCGCAGTATCGCCGACTCGAGTGATGATGGTAGGAGGAAGGCGGGAGAGGTAGACGTTCCCCCATTCTCGCAATGTCTCGGTCGTCCGGTGCGAGTTTCGCTCAGTTCTTCCCTGCCGCTCCGCGGGCTGCCAGGGACAGAGCCACGGAGCGGGAACGGGCAAGAATGAGAGCGCAAGCTTCTCCGCCCACGCAGCCAGTTGACACGAACGGTCATCGCACTCCCTTGTCCTCATTCACTTCCAACCGATCTGATGACGGAGCCAGTCCTGGCCGCTCACACATAACCTCTCTCAATCACAGCTCATCTGCCGGTGCTGACGCTACCCGCCCTCCGCTTCTTGAAGACTCCGAGTCGCTGCCCGGCGACACGCTAAACACGGTTGGCTCTGCAAGCTCGCATGCGAGCACAAGCTCATCCATCTTCAGTTCCTCTACGCGACAGCCCGCTATGGCCTCAGCTTCAGTGAGGAACTCTCACACTCACAACTCCAACACCCCTCTCACAACCGCCGACTCACCATCATCCTTATATCTCTCTACATCCCTTCATGCGAAGCCGCACTCCGTCTCGCCCCATCACGCCGACAAGCAAAACGGCCTGACACCGACACTCAATGGCTCGGCCACCGAGTTCCTCGTCCCTCTACCTGACGGTACCGACCGTGTCCCTCTTCGCAACCCTAGTCGCTCCGTCTTGTGCACCATATGCACATATGATCCTCTCTTGGACAAGAAGCTCTCGAGCTCCGAAAAGAAAAGGCGAAACCTATATACAAGGATTATGGCTTGGTACGTACACTGAACACGTCGGCGTGGATGGGGGAGCGTCATCTTTGTGAATCATTTGGCTAATACTGCTTATAGAACGATGAAGATGACGCTTCCCCTTCAGATCCACGCCTGGCGCACGGCGGGAAACTCAGCTACATCAACGTCAACTTTCATCTCCCCAAAGCCCAATTGATCGATGCGCCGAGCAACCTGAAGCCCTACCCATATGACCCCAAAACCTCCTGTGGCCCCGGGCCCCCAGTCCAAATTCTAGTGAGAGGCTTCAATCCTTTGATCGCCTTCACAAAGGTCACTACCATCTTCGCATCATTCGGGGACATTGCGGAAAGCAGCAACAAGATGCATCCAGAGACGGGAAGCTATCTCGGCTTCGCAACGATCCGATACAAAGACTCGAAACCAACCCCGTCGCGACCCGTGCCTGTTCCTGCTCATCAAGCTGCCAGGAGAGCTGTCCGAGGAATGCACGGCAGGAGGATAGAGGCCAGCCAAGTCCGTGTCGAGTTTGACCCCGAAGGCCGAAAGAGCAAGGCCTTGATGGAGGCTGTTCTTAAAAAGAGCAGGGAAACATCGCAACCCCCAAGCGCTGCCTACAAGATTCCTACCGGACCTAAACCAAGAGCTGGGGAGGTTATACCTGGACCTCCGCCAACGGCCCCCAAAGGCCCAGCAGCGCACCGAGCCCTCGGAGGTTCCGAAGCCGGCTGGACATCAACCAAGCCTCGACATCCCAGCATAATCGAAAATGAACCGATCCTCAATCACATCAAGAGCGAGCCGTATATTTTCGTTGCCCACGATTACGTCCCAGTAATGCCGACAACTGTGGCCCATATGAAGAAGCGGCTTAAGCAGTACGGATTTGATGACATTCGTGCGGATAGGACGGGCTACTACATCATCTTCCGCGATTCCCATTATGGCCGAGACGAAGCAGGCAAGTGCTATAATTCCGCCAACGACACAGCGTTCTTCACATACAGCATGGTCATGGAGCTTCACCTTTTCGGCACGGTAGGCACAAGCTCAAAAACCTCTGAGGACCATCGCAGGCACAGCTATAGTTCAGAGAAAAGGCCGCCACCCGAACACCGACAACGTGATGATCAAGATCGGCGTCGTCGTGATGAAGAGGCGGACATCGAGGAGGAGAAGAAGCAACGGGCCAAGAACCTCGATCCAGTCAAGGAGGCTGCTGAAGTAATACGACGAGAGATGACGGAGCATCTACTCAAGACCATTCGTACCAAGATCACCCTTCCCGCAGTCTTTGACTATCTCAACCCAGTCAATCATGCTGCGAAGCGTCGAAAGCTCAACATTGATGACTCCCACAGTGGTACAATTCCATCGATTGTCTTCGATGATTCTGAAGGCAGATCCTCTCCAGTTGGTACTCCGAACTCAAGAGCCGACCCAATCGAGAGGCGTACGGCGCGCGCTGATGTTTCAACACTACGGGTCCGAAAGCTGAAGAGCAGAGGGGTGAATGCTCGAAAACACGGATTCAATGATCCGTTTGCGCGAGCACGACCCACACAACGAGTAGATCTTCGGTCCCTGCATCATCGTCTTAACTCCGATAGTGACGATGATTCTGATGATGGTGTGGATAACCGATATTCTATGATCCGGGACACCGAGGAACCGGAGTCTCGCCCTAGGAGTCGTATGAGTTCGGAGGAGGACCGGAACAAGGAGGAAACCGGATCCTGGGTTGCTGGTGAAGATGACTCGATGACGGAGGCCAGCTTCGCTCTTAACGATACATCAGCCCTGCTAAGGAAGCGAAAATTGGACCTTCCAGTGGAAACGGCTATCAAGCGGCAGAAGAAAGCTGAGGAGCTCTTCGAGGCGACTATTGCTCCCATCGAGACCCAGTTGCCTTCAAAGGAGCAGTCTGTGGAGTCTGCTACCCTGCCAGGCACCGAAGCTGCATTGGATGGCCTACCTGACGCCGACGTTAAAGCCGAACCGACTGAGGACAAGGAAACTGATGACTCGCGGCTGCCAACCCCTCAACCGGACAACACCAAACTGAAGAAGAAGGGCAAAGCCAAGAAGAAGTCCAAAAAGCAGATCTTTGAGGAGCGTGAGGCGCTCAAGAAGCAGCAACAGGAGATATATGAAAGAGAGGCTCTTCGGGCCGCCGGGATCGAAGACATTGAAGCTACTCCGGAAGCTGAAGCGAAATCCAAGGCTGGTGAACCCGAGGCTGTACCTGAACCTGAACTCGAAAAGGGGGAAGCCCCGGAAGCTCCTGCGATAGAGAGCAAACCCGATCTGGATCCCGAGCTGTACCCATCGGAGCCAGTTAACGCTCTCGTCCTACCCAAGGATTTCCACTTGGATATTGGAACCCTGAAACTGGTGCCATTGCAGGGTGAGGACGGGCCAGATACCCAGAGGCTTCAAAGGAAGTTTGGTACCGGTAAGCTTGAATGTGATGCGGAGCTGTGGCTCTGGAAACGGAATAGGATCCGGCAACTTAACTCGGAGGATGGGTCAAAGGATAAACCGGTCGGAATTGGCGGTTACTATGTGCCCAATCCGACAGGATGTGCCAGGACCGAGGGTGTCAAGAAGATTCTCAACTCTGAGAAGTCCAAGTATCTTCCCCATCATATTAAGGTCAAGAAGGCCAGAGAAGAGCGGGAAAAGAATGCGAAGAACGGGAACATCAACTCTGTTGCTGCCGCCGCAGAAGCAGCCAGGCTCGCAGCAGATAGCCTGGTGGCCAAGGGCAATTCGCGTGCCAACCGTGTCAACA